TGACTTAATAATAATTAGTAATCACTTGACCTAAGTGAAAAGTACTCTGGAGGGCCTGGGAGAGAGCTCTAAATCTAAGTGCCTGCCTGGTAAGTGCAAGGACCTGGGTTTGATCCCCAGCATGGCATGCCATCCTGCCCTGCACCACCACAAAAACTGGGTGGTGGTGCACACCTGTAATCCCAGCACTGCAGAGGCTGAAGCAGAAAGATTACTGAGTCTGAGCTGTGTATTGAGACCCAGTTTTAAAAAATAGTCTGGAAATAGGGCCCAAAACACCATTAAATTCAACTTCTTTGATGTTTACTCTTCCAAAGCAACAAAGGAGTACGTTACAAGGGCTGTGTTAGCAATCTCTCCTCTGTGGTTACTGATTGGCTCCCTTGGCTTGCTCCAGCACAGCAGCCGCACCCCGTCAGCAGCAGACCTTGCCATGACAACTCCACCTGATTCCTCTTCTGTGACACAAACCGTCAAGCCACACGGCACAGCCTCTGCAGCTGGTCAAGCGCACAACTCACGAAGGCTGGTTACCCTAAAAAAACAAGTCTGAATGCTGGATGTCTGAGAACACAGCCTCCTGAATTGAAAACTGATTGAATTAAAGTAGATTTCTTGGCAAAAGTCATCCTTATTCTGCAACACTGTCAAGAACTTAACTCTTCCCCCTCTACCACACTTACTCAGGGCTGTGCTCATTGAGATCCTTTGCCTTTTCTGTTCTTTTCCCGAGCTGTTCTCCCACCCAGAGCACCCCTCATGGACATGTGCATTTAACACAAGCTGGGTCATTGCTAGGCTTACTCGTGAAATTTCACAGGGGAATGAAAGAGGTGCTTGTCCTCCCACCTCTTATTTTCTCTACTGTTTTTAAAGCATAAGTATGTATAAGTATTAGTGTGACTACATACACCTGTGAATATGCACATCAGTGATTTGCCAAACAAAATGAACTGCAGGTGGCTTAGTGTGAGGCATAAGACCCACTAAGGCACCTTCCATATTTTTGCAAGCAGAGTTTGAAAACGAGTGATGGTACAGGGAAAAAAA